GGTAAGTAAATGCTGCAGAATAGGAATAACATACCATATGATAGATCCATCATCAATTACGTAGGATCATTTGCCTTCTAATGAGTTAGCTTGAAACCCCCTATACTGCACATTTAAACACTATCCGCTTCACGACTTTGGCGATGCAGGAGAAGCAAAAGAATTTCAGAACATCTCTGGTGGTTTAAAAGAGAATCATTTACTTCTCCAATTAATTATCTTTAAAACATTAACTCCCAAGATCACTTTTCTTTCCTTGGAAAACACATAGAACATCAGGTGAAAGACCTCACGTAAACACAAGCATTCTTCCTCTCAAACCAGGCATTTAGTCTTCTCAATAAAACCATACTTACTATCCAAAATTGCCATTTCTATTTCCATCCTCCTCTCTGAAAACTCCCCAAGTTTTCTGAGTACAATCCTTTATTTGCTACTTTATTAACTTTCCTTAAGACTTTGGGTTTCTGAACTATTTCAAAAATAATTCAGCAGAGACCACACAGAAATGAAGCTACCACATCTGGCTCACTGGAGAAACAAACAGTAAGGTCTACCCCACCATATTAGTAAATTAGGAAGAGTGGTACCAATTAGTTGTTCATTAAGCCCCCTCAAAACCTCTGTGGAGTTCATGGATCAAAGCTGGACCCTCTTTTTTCATTAGCACAGTGATGAACAACTCTGCTCACCTGCCACACTACAGTATCTTGACAGACACTATCTACCCCGTGAGGTCAACATGGCAAGTGCCTCTGTCCATTTTACACCTGAGAATATGAGGCACTGCACATGTGACTTCCTTAAAGTGAAAGGGTCAAGCAGCTGACAAAGGTCCAGGACATCCCCTCTTTCCCAAGACAGTGGTTCTCAACCTTGTTTGCACATTAGAATCCCTTGGGGAGCTTTGAAAAAACACCAATGTCAGAGAGCCAAACCAGACCAAATTGCCAACCCAGACCAATTAAATGCCTAGATGTGGTATCAGGGCATCAGCACGTTTTAAAAGCTCTCCAGGTGATTCAAAGGCACAGAGCTGAGAACCGCTGCCCTATAATCTAGATGTTTAAAAGACCATCATTAGCAAATACCAGTTTTCTTTCTCTCACTTCCTTTTCTTCAGTGGCTTTGTTAACCAATAGGAGAGTGGAGGGGACCAGAATGACAGAGTGGCAGAGTGGTGGCAAATGACAATCATAATAGTGAACAACAGATGCAGCCCAACCAAGTATGTTCTCGGGTAGAGCAAAAAAAAGGCCCAATAAGAAACATAACTCAATAAAAATCAAAAGGAAAATACATCTTGAAAGCTAAAAAGCCATGTTCAACACATATGTATTTACACACACTGCTGTATACACCATGTTTTTTCTGGGTTTTTTTCCCCTCTAAAAAAGAGCAAATTTTCAAACAAATAACTATACATAGGAATGTGTGTCCCAAATGTCAGGAACGAAATGCTAAGGAAATTCTTTCCAACATCTGCGAATAATTTTGTACAATACATCATTGCTCCTATGCATTCACCTTAAAGAAGAAAGATCAGAGTAGAAAAACTACACATCCAAAAGCAGTAATAGTTTTTCTCTCCTATTAAGCAGGATCTGAAACCCACTAATTATTTCCAGAGGGAACGTCTTTCGTAACACTTTATTCCTGAGCACAATTTGGTTCTTAGGCAACCAGGACTTCACGTACTGGCAGTTAACACTAGGGGAAAGTCTGCGTTGAAAAGAACCCTCCTCCAGTGAGGAATTCTAAGCACAAGAAACAATTAGGTATTTAGTAGGGATTTCATATTCCAGTCTTGCTGTTCCCCACCACCATCCAAAGAAATCACAAGAACACTCCATATTCCCCGAAGACTGCAAATATGAGCTCTTAAAATTTCTAGGATCTTAAAAGACACACACATACACACACGCGTGAATGCACAGAACAAATTAGGTTTGTGAAAAACACTACCAGTTATACAATACCTTCAGAATGAAAATACCAGGGAAGAGATTTTATTCAACTCAATCTACAGGGCATTAGTCAAAGGCAACTGACAGTTTTATAAGTGCTCAACGTGAAGCTCTTTGTTAGTGAAACCTCATACTAGAAAACTACAGCGGCTTACTTTCCCCTCCCCTTCTCCCCAAATCCATCTCTTTTAGCTCTGCCAAATAACTGGCTCCGAATGTGTGTGTTCTGTTTCTCTCTTTGTTTTTCCCAAAAGGGAAAAATTAATGGTCAAGTGGGTTTAATTTTTAAATTGGTCCAAGAGCTTTAAACACACTGTACTGAGAAAAAATGCAAATGGAATGCTCTTGAAAATGGTTGCACATTAAACACACATCTTATGACCCAAGCCTTTACTAAGACGAGTTCTTAAATTCTATGGAGGTCAGAAGTTTAGTTTATTCAGCAAGAATAACTCTATTAACAGCTCCAGCTCCTTCTTGTCACCACAGTAAACATTCACACATTCCAAATTCTAGAAAATGTGAGGCAGTTAAAAGAAGGTTGGAGCTGCTGAAGGCTCCATTACCGTGCCTGAAAAGCTTCTAAAGCTATCAGTCTGTGTATGAATGTACAGAAGGCATCCACCAGGATGGAGGGATCATAACATAGAAAGGCAGGTATATCAAACTCAGGAGACTGATTTTTCATAGAACAAGGTGGAACTGGAAAGGCTTTATATATATTACTACCAAATAATAATAATGAATAACAATACTGTAAAGCTCTTTAAACATATGCCCAGAGGATCAGAATTCCATATCGACACATGTACTGCTATAGTTTTTAACAGATTTTTTCCTAAATAATCCCACCTGTTATTAGAAGCTAACGTTCAAGTCAAAACCCAGCAGACTTCTAAGCAAAGTGAAAAATAACCCAAGCCTTACAGCTGTTCGAGAAAGTTGTGGCTAATTTGTGGCTAATACAACATCTACCACTCAGTGAGGTCACACTGCAGGAACTCAGTCCTACCTCACATTGGAATAAATAAAATCATGACAAGCAATAAAGTGATGGGCGCTAAGTCATAGCTAAGAAATGGAAGACAGTGCTTCACCCTAATGAGTAAATTATCTAAGTACAAGAAAATCTTACTTTAAAGTTTATGGAAATTAACTCTTACTCTCTCCAAATCTTTTTCTGTTCCTGAAATTCAGCACCTAAACTAATTAACTGTGACCTTATTTATGTCTTGATTCCTTTTCTACACTTCTCATAGCAGGATACCATTCTGAAGCTCTTATCCACCACTTCTGCTCTAATGAAAATCTAAGGGAAGGCAAACTGTGCCCAACCCAGAGAGGCAATGAGAGAGAAGCTTGCTCCCCACATGGGACCCCTTGCCCTGGAGGTGTCAGACCAGCAAGCAAGATTGGTAAATTGTAATTTCAGTTCCTCTTACATCAGTTCTTCGTAATGTGGTTGCATAGTACATACTGTTTTAAATGGCTTCCCAGCTAAAAACAGCAAGAGGGAGGAGCCCCCAAACCCCCAAAATTTCTAAAGCCAAAATTAAATTTTAACTATCACTTTGATTTGAGCAAACAAGAGAGCTCCCCATATCTACTGCTTGCATTCCCTTTCTGATTTTCCTTCTTATAAAATTTAACCTTTATTTTTCCTTACTAATGCTGTCTACAAAACTTTTTATCTAATTATGAAATATATCCTACAAGAGTATATTTAATGTAATATGCAGAACTCAAAAGATTTTTCTAAGAATTGCTTTTCTATATTAAAACTACTTGAGCTGTTCTGTCTTCTGACAATTATACTCACACCTGTCACCTGTTTTTCATTCTTCATTTTTATTCTCCTTTCATTCCCCAGTTTGTCACTATCCTTAACTACTTTCTCTCAACTACTTCTTTCCCCAATATATTCCCCTTTCCCATCCACTCAGCCTATTTTGCATATATATTTTACTTTCTCCCCTTTGCGTTTCATCCCTCACGTTTTTCCCCTTTGATACAGAGGAACCTAAACAATGATTTTCAGTCTCAGACCCTTCTAGTTCCCTCAACTTTGCCCTTACTCCTCTCCCAAAAGACCATGACATTGACAACTGTCATCTCCTTTATGCTTGCCCAACCTAGCTTAGAGGAAAAAAAAGTTTCGCCTATGTTCTTCATTTTCCTTTGTTCCCCTGGTGTACCCTGGGGCATACTTCTTCTTGTGTGGCTCTCTCCTTGGTATTTAGTTTTTAATTATCTGTTGGCCTCTGTCAATGACACTGGCTATCTGAAACATGCTGTACTTGATGATTATGTGCTATGAGATGTGGCCAACCATGGTCTGGATCTACTATCAGTATGGCACATGCGTGATTTGTATTTCCAATAGCAATGATAGATTAATCCTGATCCATTTCTTACGTAACTTGTTTCTCTTGTGACTGATAGGTTGCACTTGCCAGATGGCCTGCTGAGTTAAGGGGCAGGAAAGGTGCTATGTCTCTGGCTGTAGAAGAGAACTGACTGGCTCAATTGGGGCTTAAGCCTTTGCCCTTGACTTCATTAGCTCTGAACACCAACCAGCCACAGTGACATCATGGCAATGGCCCTCGCTAAATGCAAGAACCCTGGCTCAATTCAGAAGGTAAATATAAGCCTCGACAACACAAAAACAACCACATCAAGACAGACAGATCTGCTGGCACGCTGAGGAGAAAATAAACTTGAGACCTATCTCCCTTTCTAATTCCCATGATTTCTCTTAGGGAAAAGGCAACCCCTCACCCTGCTTCTCACAGTCCTTCCATGCTAGCACTTAAAGCAGAGAACCACTTTCAGGGACACTTGATGTGTCCTGAACGTAAAAGCAGCCATGAACAAAAAGACAAACAGTCCTTATTTCAACAAAAATCCAGAGAGCATAAAAACCACTTTTCTTTCCTCTCTGAAAACAACAAAGCAAATTCCCCTTATAGGTGGACACAAACACATCATGGGGAAGAGGGCATGGGGAAATACATAAAAATAAATTGTATTTACCTTCTTCTGTTTCATGCCACACGATCCCTTCCAAATTCACACTGGTCCCAGGTTCACAGGGCCCAAGACACTCGGGCTCTGTCACTACTCCAACTTCACATGTATTGACACCCACGGAACGAGTCCGAACCAGAAGCTGCTCAGCCGGTGCTGCAATATTGGATGAAGATGGGGAAAAGTAGGAGGGTAGAATCTGAGGCGTGAGACTGCTGGAAATCGGCGGTGGTGGTGCTGGCACTGTAAACAGGGGGTCAACCTGAAAGACAGACAGGCTTACTGCAGTGGTGCTGCATTCTGTGAGGTTTTTCAATGCAATCTGTTTACATCACTTCTAGAATATATCACCATTCCAAATTCCATTTGCAATTATAATACGCTTTGAGTGTTTTAATGGTGCCAAAATATAAAGCAGAATAGAAATGAGCATTATATTTTTTCATGCCAAACAAGGTAAACACTGGAGCTGTAGCTTCCTGAGTTACAGGCAGGCCTTCGGTGTCCTTCTAAAAGCGCCCAGAGACAACCTTTAGCCTCAGTAGAAGTGAATGAAATATGCTTTGCAAAATTAAGACTATTTCCCACTTGTAATGAAATCTTATTTTCAAAATTACAATATTTTCCCAAGGAAAAACAACAATAAACACTATATATGCATCATTGGATATTTAAGCACAGGAGATAGACTAAAATTGTTTTCAAAGTACTTTATAAACCATAATGAATTAAATCACTACTAAAATATATTAACTTATTCTGCTGAATATATAAAATACATAAACTTGATTACACACACCAAAACACATAAACTGGATATTATTAGCATGTATTAAACATCAACTCCTAAGTAAGTGGTCTATGGCAAAGTTTAGCAGAATTCATATAAATGGGGAAATAAATGTGTGTGCCCAATATCAAAGACGTTGAGTTTCTCCAATGCACAAGTCCTTTAGTGGTTCAACTTGTAAAGATCCCTGATGAGTTTGACCAAGAGTCAGCAGCCCTCTCTCTAAATCCAGGAGACAGAAATGACAGCCAATACAAGATCTTGTGGTGCAGTTATCTTCTTTGCATCCTCATCCTGAGGAGAGCAGCAAAGGAGTTCTTTACCACAAAAAGTTCAGGAGTGTGGCCATAATGAAACCAAAGGCTATGCATGTCCTAAAGAGGTGGATCACCAACCAACTCATTCATTCGTTCGGCCCATTTTAACAACTGTTGTGACTACTACAGAATAGCTTTAGCCTTGCTGACAGGTTATCAAGTGGGAAAGAGCCAAAAGCAAAGCACGTCCACACCAGGACTCCAGATCAGCTACGATCTCATGCTGTATAGAGACACCGCCTACACATAAGGGACGACACCGTGTATGTTTTATCAGTCGGGCTAACACATCGTATGTGTAAAAACGACACATAGAAGGTTGTTCTGGTAAAATGCCATCTTAGTCTGTTCACATCTTCCCAGTTAACCTTTGTAAGAAATCAACACTTGGCTACAGACGTAATATCACAGTCTCTGTTGTTTCAAAAAAAACACAAAAAGAGTATATTTCAAGATAAGTCACATGAGGAAGTGTGCTCCTAGTTAAACAGCTGAAGCAGTCATCTGCGTGGGCTCCTTGTTCATATGACTGTAGGAACTATTTCTACAGTTTGCATTTCACTAAAATGATAAACTGACGTTCACTTGCTTGAGTGATCCAAGATGCAATGGAACAGCCTGCATCCAACTGCATGTTAAAGAAACTTAATTTCCTGCTCTCAAAGCTGCCATAAAACTTCTTTTGCTCCATGCTTTTTATTGTTCTGCATTCTTCATCACAGAGCCCAAGAAAGAAAAGCATTTAACAGCCCCAAACCCCAGATCTGGTGATTTATGCTTTCGTGTAAATGCAGCTTAATGTGGATCAAAGTTCGCACTGATAGTTCCTATTTTAAAACTGAGCTGACAAATGAAGAAAGCGGGTCTGAGGGAGGAAATTTAAAGGGGGAAAAAAATCCAATGCTACCTTGTAGCCTTTATTACGACTAAAAGATTGTGTGAGGTTAGAATCATTTTCCAGAATTAAAAAAAAAGAGACCAAAGAATACTATAAACCAGCTACTGCACTTTTTTTGCCAACCTCTTAATTTGTATAGTTAGTTGTAAAATGACCATAATTTGACACTACACATTCAAACTGAAAAGACAAAATGGAACAACATTCTCAAGATATTTTTTGTTTCTCTTGATCGACAGCCTACATTAACTCCAATAGAAAAAATGTAGCTTCAATTGGAAAAACAAGAAAATGAAATAAAAAGAGGTGAGGAGCCTTAGTGAGCATCAATTCTCTGATTTTGGATGTCCGGACACAATGAGACAATGCGTCCAACAGAAGTTATAGGCATAGGGCATGTTGACACTAGGATTTTGGCCCCAACTGTGACACTAATTAGCTTGTGCCTTTGGAGAGTCATTTAATCTCACCGAGGCCCATTTTCCTCAACTGGAAAATGTATTCTTTGGTCTTCTAATATTGACGACAAATCCTATCACAACAGAATTTCTAGACTAAATCCCTATTTCAACATAACTCTGCTTATGAATACATTTGCATACAGCTACAGACTCTCATAGTATTTGTGATAGTTATGTAATTCCAAAGATCAAATTCCCGAAGAATCTAGATGACTTGAGGATCTACTAGCAAGTTAACTGTGTTTATTTCCATTAACACAATCCAAATGCAATGGAAAAAGTTTAGTTGATGACATCCATAGAAGGGACCTTGCAGCCCTGTCCCCACATGTTACAAAATGAGAAAACTAAGGTTGAGTTTAACTATAAATACAAACTTAATCATAAACAGCCCCAATGTGATGATGGTCTAAAACCCTTGAACTTGATAGGTAAACTTGATAGGTAATATAAAGGTTCAACTCTTTGACTTACAAGTGAATGTCTTAGTTTTTCCCCTGCACTGGCTTCCTTAGGATAGCTTGAAACTGTCATTCCCTTAGGTACCAGATCATCACTACCAGTGAGCAGAGAAAAGGAAATCTTCTCCCTTGGGATTTCAAGATTTGGAGTAGAGAACAAAGACCCCTACTGGGGTCCCTCCTCCCCAGACGTCACCAACCAGAGAGGGGTGTGGGGATTTACAGCCACTCCCAGAGGTGTTTTATTTGGCAGGTATGCTACTTTTAAAAACAGTCCAATTTTTCGCCAACACACAAAATTAGGGAAAAGCCCGAATTCCACTATCTCTTAAAATAATAACTGAATAATATGCAATACTGGGCCCACAATCCTCATGGCATGAACTGACAGGGCTGAGTTTCCCTTCAACCTTGCAGTAACCTGCCCAGATGCAGGGTAGCCTCTGGAAAAGCCCTTCCAGCTTTTCCCTCAGACAATCACAGAATGCTTTAGCTACAGGCCATCTAGCCCAACCTACTCATTCTACAGAAAAATGTGACCCATATTTGTGCAAGAGCAATAAGCTATCTCTAGTGGCAGCCCAGGTGAGCATAAAAGAGCAGCATCCTACAAGCAGAAAATTTACAGTAGGAGTTCAGCAGACACCAGGAGACAAAAGAGATGTGGAACGAAAATAATTCAATGTGACCAATTCTTTCTGCCAGCTAATGCCCCCAGTGGGAGATGTTCCCCCCAAAAGGTTTCAGTTCCCTTGTGTATCTCATGGTGTCTAACACAAAGCCACATGTACCATATGTAAAGCAGGATTTTAAAGGATTTTCAATAGTTATTTTTGCCTTATACAAAAGATCAACTCCACTGCACCCTGATTTCTCAGGTCACTGATCCATACAATGAACCATAATTTCTTCAACCAATGAGGCTTGTTAAGACAGGGGGTAGCAATAGTCCCCAAAAGGACTCCCTCCAGTGAGGAGGCAGCATACACTTGGACTCGGTAGTGGTGGACCTCGGGGCTGTGTTAGTAGACAGGCTTGGGTTCAAAACCTGACCCTATCAGTACTGGCTGTGTGGGACCCTAAGCAAGTTACCTGGCCTTCCTAAGGCTCAATGTCTGGATCTAGGAAATGGGAGGAAGAATAACAATTACCTGCATAGGGTGGCAGTGAAGACTCAATGAGATAATTCAAGCAAAGTGAATGCTCAACATAATGCTTACTTAGCTCAGTAAACACTGACTTTGAAAAAGAAAAAAAAAGTCCCCGCCCTGATATTACAGTTCCCTAACCCTGCACGCAACCTTACAAAGCTCCTTTTTATATCCTACTACATTTAACATAAATCTATAATCCCCTCCAAATGCATGGTTAAGTGCAGTTAAAGTGTGTTAAAAGTATAAGAAAAAGGGCTTAACCCCGAGAAGCTCAGCCTGGGGAAATACTGCTCCTTTCATACACGGGCATCTGGCGGCAGTCGACCAGCTTAATCCACCGCCACTTTATTGGAGGTCCTGAGGAGTCCTACACTTCTACAAAATCTCCTTCCACTAATCTCTAGTTGCACCTCTTTTTCATGCACTGCTCCCCCTAAAGTCTCCTTTTACTCTCCTAAACCTGATCACATATCCACCCAATACATAATTACTACACACCTGCTGTATGCCAGGCACGGTGCAGCCTGCTAGCAAAACAGGAGTGGGCAAGACTGGCATTAATCAAATAATCATACAAATACAGCAAAATTACAACTGTAACTGCAGAACCACATCCACAGGGCTGTCCGTGGTGGCCTGAGTGCCAAAACCAGCATGGAGTGGGAGACGCTGTGGTGCAGGGATCAGTCTCTGGAGCTGGAACCCAGCTGTACCTTTAGAGTGAACATAACATTAGGCAAGTCACTTGATCTCTCTGGGACTCAGTGGCTTCATCTGTAAAATGGAAATAACACCTGGCTAATGTGACCACTACATGAGCTCATACAAACAACCTCAGTTCAGGGCCCAGGACAGAGAAGCACTCAATAAATAAAAGCTATTGCCATTTTCAATATTATGATCATTATTACAAATAGACTTGAGACCTGAACTAAAAGAAAATCAATCAGCAGTTTGGCCCTGTAAGGCCAAATGCTAGAATATGCTACATTCAAAGGCAATTCAAGAAAGGCAGTTATGTTTCTAAAAGGAAGTAACCTAAAATAATAATAATCAGGTATTCCATTTAAAAATTGATGGGGAATTATTAGCCTAATAATACTAACAACTGGAATAAAAGATCAGAATAGAAAACTGGCCAGTTTTAGCAATGGTTCCTTTGTCAAAGCTCTTTTCTGTCA